TAGAGAGCTCTCATTTTAAAGAACAGAGAGGCAGACGCCTTCCAAACAGAACTCAGCCTAGATAGACTGATACAATAAATATTTTTCCAAATGACTACTAAGCATGCACTAAAACTGCTACAGATAGCAACTGAGAGTGGAAGGAAGAGGTAAGAGGCCCCCTTCATCGGATGGTGCTCTGATTATAGAAGTGCCACTATGGAAACACCCAGGAAGGGGAGCCCATCCAGCCTTTGGAGACCTAGAAGGAATTTCCAGATGTGACATTAAGCTGAGACCTAGAGACTTTTTTAAGAAGTTCACTAAGTGTCTTGCTGATGAAATGTCACCTGAAAAGCCCCACAGCAAATAAGTACAAGTTTCTTATTGACGGCTTTGTCAGGATGACCACATGAAGGTATCTTGAGATGCAGGCAGAGGACAGGCTTAGTGAGTCACCTTATGGCAGCTAGCCTGTTCAAGAAGGTGGGAACTAACACTCTGCAGAGTGTGATATAAATGAATGATGCATAACCTTAAAAAAATGCCCTCTGCCTATAGTAAGAATAATAATCAGGCAAGAATTGACAGCTGCCTAAATAAAAGCAGTGGTTCTGAAAGCAAAGATGAATGGCTGGGCCAAAAGAATATGTAATGGATAGCTGGGACACAAGAGGGCTGGCTAGAAAGGAGAATTTACCACAGCAGGGTAGATAAAAGCAAGGTCAGTGTAAATTCCTGTCAGACAAGCTCATATGAAGGCTTCAGTGAGGTACACAAGAAATTAAAATATCTCAGAAGTGGCTAGATTTTAGAGACTGAAATTTAGGCCAGAAACCACAGATTTGGATGCTATCTACACATACTCTATATGTGAGATATGAGACTATGACAGTGGCTAAATTTGAGAAAGAAGAAGAGAAGGAATATGTGAATACGTTTCTATGACAGAAACCTGGTAAGTACTCAGCAACTAGGAGAAATGCCAGAAGAGCGCAACAGTAGGTTCTAGAAAGTGGTTTTTGTTTCATCTTTTTGTTTTGGTTTTTAAGACAGGGTCTAATATGCAGTTCAGGCTGGCCTTGAGTTCACATTGTAGCCAGGCTGGTCTCAAGCTCATGATTTTCCTGCCTCAGCTGCCCACATGCTGGGATTACAGGTGTGCACCACCATGCCCAGCTTAGAAAGTGGCTTTTGGAAATAACTGCCAACTGTGTGAAATATGGCAATGTGCTCAAGTGCAGTAAAGGCTGGAACACATCCGACGCACTCAACAAGCAGGGTGTCTGCGTGCAGACATGCAGGACAGGAAGCATAGAGAGCATGCGCTACACTAGCTGTCGGATGAGGTGAGAGGAAAACAGCTGAAATTTCAGTCTCAAGGGAAAGAGAGTATTCTGATGAAAAACAAGGAAAAAATATAAATGCTTATAGGTAAAATACCTGAAGAGAGAGTTTCAGTCCAGTCCAGCACAGCAGGATTTAAGCACTGGTTTCTGACTCCTCATTTTAAGAATTACAAGATGTGTCACATCTTTCCTTCCCTTAGGCTCACTGCATGGAACTCAAACTGCAATCTAATCTGACATTCCTCATCCCAAGAGGCAAGAGCTCAGCACCTTCAGAGCTAACCTACCTTCTCTGTGGTGACTAGCTGCAGCTCAGGGCACACACGGAGCACACCCATGTATACGCGTGCACATACACACACACACACACACACACGTACACATATGCACACATACACACACACACATGCACAAGCTCCGTGCCTTTTCAAAATGGTTTTAATAACTGCTAAATTTCTCCCTACTACCTCTTTTTCAGAGCCTTCTCACTTTATTTTCTATAAGACATGCAAGAAAAAGGTAATGCAAACATTTTTGAATTGCTACAAAACAGTTACAAGCATGTGTAAGAAATAAAGGATTGGGCTCTTCCCTTTTGCGGCCATCGCTGGAGCTGCAGCAGCCAAAATGAAGTTTAATCCTTTTGTGACTTCAGACCGAAGCAAAAACCGTAAAAGGCATTTCAATGCGCCTTCCCACATTTGCAGGAAAATTATGTCTTCTCCTCTTTCCAAAGAGCTGAGACAGAAATATAATGTTTGCTCTGTGCCCATCCAAAAGGATGATGAAGTTCAGGTTGTGCGAGGACACTATAAAGGTCAACAGATTGGCCAAGTAGTCCAGGTTCACAGGAAGAAGTATGTCATCTACATTGAACGGGTGCAGCGGGAAAAGGCAAATGGCACAACTGTCCAAGTGGGCATTTACCCCAGTAAGGTGGCTATCACCAGGCTAATACTGGACAAGGACCGCAAAAAGATCCTGGAACAGAAAGCCAAGTCTCGCCAAGTAGGAAAGGAAAAGGGCAAATACAAGGAAGAAACGATTGAGAAGATGCAGGAATAAAGTCCTCCTGTGTGTAACTTTTAATTAAAAATGCTAAAACGAAAAAAAAAAAAGAAAGAAAGGATTGGACCATCAGATGATTGCTAAAGTCAACTCCATTTTAACATTTATGAAATCTAGCATGGGTGTCAAGTTCAAAACATTGTCCTAGAATCCCCACACTGGGCTCTAAAAGTGATGTGCTTATATAGTGGGTTGATGAAATACTGCTCTGAGACCCATCCAGGATTTACAGTGGTACTGTAAGAGGCCACAAGGCTACGAGAAAAGCCTAAAATCAGGATTATTAAATAAGCAACCGGGGCTGGAGAGATGGCTCAGTGGTCTAAAGCACCTACTTGGAACAAGCTTGGCAAAGTACAGGGACCACGGTTCGATCTCCCAGCACCACATGCCAGCCAGCTGCGCCCCCTGGTGGGCTGAGCTGGCCCCCCCCCCCCCCACACACACACACAATAAATAAATGTTAAAAAAAAAAAATAAGCAACCAAATATATTCCATTAGCAGCTATATTTTATATGAAAAGATACTATTGTTACATTAAATATAATAAAAATAACTCTATTCAGTTTGTGATCATAGTAATTGATGATCAAAGGCACATTTATTCCACTGTTTCTTGGGGTTTTTTTTTGGGGGGGGTACTGGGGATCGAACTCAGGACCTTGCACTTGCCAGGCACATGCTTATGTCTCTGAGTTATATCCCCAGCCCTATAACACCTTAATGACATCAATATAATACATTAGCTTCATGAATAGCTAAAACAGGACAAATAAAATGAAAGAAATTAATAGTTATATAGTAAGATTTTCAAAAGATCTTGTATACACTGTTTGAACCATAGATCTAATTGCTTCATAGATTATTCACTAATATAATTAATCAACTCCTAAGTACTTTTTACATATGTCCAAAGGACAACCATTTTGTTCTACTGACTTAAGTTAAATAAAATGGTTTTCTATAAAAATATCACACACCTGAATATACAAGTTTCAGTATCACTAAAAGTGGGCATGCTGGTATTATGTTCCTCATGATATTATACACAAAAAATACCATACCAGTAACATCTAAAAACTTCAGCCTAGAGCTAATGAAAATCTAGTAATTATAGGAAAGAGGGGCACATTAAAGAATGTTAAAAAGAAGCAATTAGGGCCAGTGAGATAGCTCAGCAGTCTAAGCACCTGCCTACCAAACACAGGGACCTGGGTTCGATCCCCAACACCACATGCTGCGCCAGCCGTGCCCTGGGCGTGCCAAGCTAGCCACCACAATTGGGCATGGTGGGACACACCTGTAATCCCAGCACTGGAGAGGCTGAAAATAGGAGGATCACTCGAAGTCCAAAGTGTGGCAGCACCCTGTACCAAACACATTTTTTTTAAAAAGCAATTACCCAAATCCAACGATGTGAAGGATAAGCCATAGGACAAATAATTCTTTTTTTTTTTTTTTTTTTTTTCAAAAAATCACATACAGGGCTGGTGAGATGGCTCAGTGGTCTAAAGCACCTACTTAGAACAAACTAAGCTTAGCAAAGCACAGGGACCACGGTTCAATCCCCAGCACCACATGCCAGCCAGCCCTGCCCCCTGGTGGGCTGAGCTGGCCACACACACACACAAAATACATACATACATACATACATACATACATACATAAATAAATAAATAAAATTAAAAAAAAAATCACATACATACTGAAAATTAAAAGGACGGAAGACTGCTTTAGAATAAAGAGTTTTAAATTATACAATACCCAGACTCTTCCTAGATTTAGACAAGACAGTAATAAGACTACTGCCTAACACTGCATCTAGATATAGTATTAAATGATGTTTTAAAATAATTTTTCTTAGGGATGGGGAGATAGGTCAGTGATCTAAGCACCTGCCTGGCAAACACAAAATCCTGAGTTTGATATCCTGTAGCACATGCCATATGGCCCTGGAATCCCAGGCATGCTGTACTGGCCCCAAAACTGGGCATGATGGCTGGCACACACCTGTAAAGCCAGCACCAGGGAAGCTGAGACAGGAGGATCACTATGAGTCCAAACTGCATAGTGAGACCCTGTATCAATAATAATAATAATAATTTTGAAAAAAAAAAACAGGCATATTCTGACTCCAATTTTTGGGATTTCAAGGTATAGAACTTGTCCTGAAATTAAAAGGTGAGTTTCCTCTTTTCACTACAAACAAGAAAGAATTGCACTAAGCCATTCAAGTGCTACAAGCAGCTCTGAGCATGCCCACTGCCTTTCTCTGCTTCCTTCTTCCTTTTCAGTAATAGAAATACCTTCAGCCATGCATAACTTTGGTTCACCTTGTTCACATTCTTCAGGTATCAACAAAGACATAACTCACTCCTAGTGTCCGGGTACACAAGTGAAGGTAGTCAGCAAAACCACAGAACATGATTGTGAGGGCTTGTATCCATTGTACATATAAAGCAATGGAGACACAGAAACTTGGGAATGACTTGGGAGACTTCAGCACTCATTACCAACAGGGCTGGCCCTAGAGTGAAGTCATGGATCATCCGCCGCGGGCTCCTGGCACTGCTCCAGGCCAGGACAGCTCCACCTGCACTGACCTTCCCGTGTTCCTTCCGTGCATGTGAGATGTACACGTCTCTCTGTGTGAACAGGCGGTCACACTCCCAACATGTCCAGCCGGGACTGGCTGCCTTCTTGGATTCTGCTGACTTTTTCACAGGAGATGGAGATTTCTTTTCCGATTTCTCTTTCCCATTCATGGACTTGGTGTCCTCTTTGTTGTGGTTTGCTGAATTCTGAGCTGCAGGCTTAATGCTCAAAGGCAAATTTATGCCCAAGTTGGGAGGCCCTTCGATACTTTTCAATGTTCCATGCATAGACTGCATTATAAAAACAAGAGAAGTATCTATCACAAATCACACCACCAAAAGAAAACATGTGCAAGCTACCTTCATGCTTTATAGACATTTTAATAGGATTATATGTCCATTCCAAAATATTTCCTAACATAAAAAGAAAACCTAATCTAAAATTACACATTTTAAAAGAGAAAAATGGAATATTAACTTTTACTATCACTGTAAATTATGAGCATCTAAACCAGACATGGTGGCACACTTTTGTAATCCCAGAACTTGGGAGGCCAAGGCAGGAAGATCACCGTGAGTTCAAGGCCAGCCTGAGACATATAAGTGAGCTCAAGGCCAGAATGAACTGCATAGCAAGACCCTGTCTCAGTAAGACAAAAAGAAAGGGGTGGCTTCTAGTTAGTAATAATTTTTAAAACTTATGTATCTGTGCCATTTTAAAACTTTAAAGACAGACCTCTACTGAACCCCATTAGGCCTGGTACTCTGTCCCCACTCACATCTCAGAATGAATCCTCCACAAGATGCTATTTGCCAAGAATAGCTTGCTATCCTATCTGCAGCTATGGTTAACAAGTTACTGCACTGTGGGTGTTCCAGAGCCTCCGGGACCAACACCTGAGAGTCCCCATGAATGGCAAGCCATTAACACTCTGGGAATATATGGAACCACCTGAGTGGCCTTTTCCGCTAGGTTTTGGAGGTCATTTTCTCCCCCTACCCCCTATCCCAATCATTCCTTCTTACTAGATCTGCAAACTGTACATATTAGGTACTCACAAACTTTTCATAACCTTTTGCACTTGTGTAGCTAGTTATCACCATTAATAGTCACAACAGCCATCTTAAACTCACAGGATTTAAACACAAAATTACTGCAGTCTGATTCTACAGGCCAACCCAGTTTAGTTCTTTGTTTGCATTCTAAAGCCACGGAGTCGAAATAAATGTAAGGCAGCAAGTCCGCCCCACAGTAGACATTCTGTTTGCCTTCTCTTTTGATCAGGATGCTGGCGAGCGAGCCGTTCCTGAACTGAGGTTTTATTTAAGGATTTTAAATTTAAAAAAAACTTTCCTAAGTTTCTAGGTGAATGCATTTTGATTAACTAAAAACCTGAAAAAAAAGGGCATAATGTTAAAAGAATTCTTAAAAATTTTTGAACTGCTATAGAAATCATAGAAAAGCAGCAAAAATTCTGTCATGACAGAAGCGGGAAATGGGTTGTCTTAATGAAATTGCTCCTCTTAACTTATGTGTTGTAAGTGAAAAGGAGATTAGGACCAATTGTCTTTTTTTTTTTTTTTGGCGGCACCGGGGATTGAACTCAGGCCCTTGCGCTTGCCAGGGAAGCGCCTGTTCCTCTGAGCCATCTCCCCAGCCCCAATTGTCTTTTTCCTAATAAAAGGAGCAACTGGATTCTGGGGTGTAAGTCTGTGGTAGAGCACTGGCCCGCATGTGCACGGCCTTTGCTTTGAGTGCCAGCACCACACCAAAAAGAAAGGAGCACACAGGTGCATACCTATGATCCCAGCAGTCTGAAAGGCTGAGGCAGGGGGACTGGACATTCAAGCCCCACCTAGAAAACATTAGGAGATCCTGTTTCAAAATTTTTTTAATTTTTAAAAATTTTAAAAGGCTGAAGATGCAGCTCAGTGAGGCCTAGGCTAAGTCCCCAGTACTTGAAGGGAGGGAAAAAGAAACACAACTTAGTTCTTTTTAAACTGATTTTTTCTAAAGTGCCTGCTTAGGCAGAACACAGAACTGGGGTTTGATCCCCGGCCTGCTGTGCTGGCCCCGGCCCAGCTGTGCACTGAGATGGTGATTGAGAGTGGGCGTGGTAGCATGCCCCTGTAGTCCCAGCGCTTGAGAGAACACAGGCGGATCACTACGAGTCTGATCTACATAGTGAGCCCCTGAACACCCTGTAGACCCTGTACTAAAAGTACATTAAAAAATTTTTTTAAACTGATTTTTCTTTAGCTCATAAAACAGTAACTGAATATTTAGAAGTTTACGTCAAATGGCAATGTCAAAGTCAATGTCAAAGTCAACAGGGACCTGCAATGTAGGTAAATCTATTTGGTTAGACAAAGATAGGAACTGAGCCAGGTGTGATGGCGCCAACTGTAGTCTCAGCACGTGGAAACTTGAGGCAGAAGGATCCCCCTGAGCTCAAAGCCTGCCTAAGCTACACAGTGAGTTAAAGGCCAGCCTGCACTACACAGCTACACCCTGTTTCAAAAAGCAAAACAAAAAACTTCAAAGAAATGCTCTGCACTGGGATAAAGTGAGCAAATAAAAAGCCCATGCAAAGACAAGCACGACCAGCCCACTGCCTCCTCAGCCCCCACTCAGAGGTGCCCGGCAAGGTAAGCACACAGCCACACCTGGATATGCCACCTTAAAAATAAAAACTCCTAAACCCAGCACACAAAAGCAGGATACTACTTTAAGATGCAAACAATATGAAGGAAATGAGAACAAAAGTGAGCATTCGCACTGATTTCATATCATGTAGGCTTGCAAGGTTTCAGATGATTAAAAACAACTCTGTCACACACACACAAAATAAAAACCCAACTCTATCCTTCTAGTGGCCACAGGACCTTACCACTCATCTTAAGTCTGTATTCCTCCAAACTCATGGTTAACAAAAATAGCCCAAAGACAAAGCCCATAACCCCACTTCCAAATGCAAAGGTAAGTTGAAGAAAAACCCGTTTAAAAGTCACTTAGGAGACGTATTTTCTTTGTGTGTGGTGGGGGGGGGTAACTCATGTGCAGCAGCACCTCAGTTCACAAATTTGATTTTTTCCACAATTCTGGTCGTAAACCGAATTGGAGAAGAACCAATCAATGGGTAGACTCAATTTCCTTTTTCCTTAAGAGGAAATCTGATTCAGTTCACATTCAGTTCCATTTGCAAACAGAATTTTGGGGAGAATTCTGTGTGTGAACCAAGGCACCACCATACAGCATATTAAAACATTCTGGTCTAAATCTCATGTCCCAGCCAGGGCTGGCGGCTCACACTCATAATTCCAGCACTCAGGAGGCTGAGGCAGGAGGGTCACTGCCAGGTCAAGGCCAGCCTGGGCTACAAAGTGAGTTCAAGGTCAGCCTGAAGTGCATAGTGAGACCCTGCCTCAAAAAGACAAAAAAGACTAGCCAGATAGCTCTGTGGACTGAAACCCCTGCTTAGGCAGAGTGCGGCAGCCAGGGTTCAACCTGAGGCCTGCTCTACTGGCCCCACCCCTGGGGCATGCTGAGATGGCAACTGAGACTGGGCCTGGTGGCATGCACCTATAATCCCAGTGCTTGGGAGGCTGAAAACAGGAGAATCATTACAAGTCCGATCTATGTAATGAGACCCTATAGACCCTGTACTAAGTATATTGGAAAAAAAAAGACCAAAACAAACAAACAAAAAAAACCCAATGTCCCCCACATCTTTATTTTTTATATCACGCATTAATTTTACTATCAAAAACAAGTTTACATGGGCTGGTGAGATGGCTCAGTGGTCTAAAGCACCTACTTAGAACAAGCTTAGCAAAAACAACGGGACCTCGGTTCAATCCCCCAGCACCACATGCCAGCCAGCCCCGCCCCCTGGTGGGCTGAGCTGGCCACACACACACACACACACACACACACACACACACGAATAAAAATAAATAAAAAAAAATTAAAAAAAACAAGTTTACAACTTTTGCTAAAACACTTAAAAGGGCTAGGGAGATAGCTCAGTAATAAGCGCTTGTCTGGCAAGGTCAAGGTCCTAAATTCAATCCCCAGTACTGCAATCGATCACTCACTCAATCAATCAATAAAACACTTTCAGGGCCGGGGAGATGGCTCAGTGGAATAAGCACCTGCCTGGCAAGCACAAGGGCCTGAGTTAATCTCCAGTTCCACAAAAAATAAATAAATAAATAAATAAATAAATAAAATAAAATAAAACACTTAAAATATCCTAAGTGGATTTTACTGCACTACAGCGGGAATGACAAAACACATCAATCATGGATTTTATCCTCCCTAATAAGGCCACCAACCCCATTTTCACTTGGCCTACAGGAGCAGGATCTCCAAGATGTTAGTTCCTTTCCAGACGGCAATTACTCCCCATGACCTCAAATGTGTGCAAGACAGCAGCTTTTAATAATTAACAGTCCTTTCACTTAACAGACACAAGGCGAGAATAACTGTTTGCTCTTTTACCTGACCATTTTTGTACATGTATGTTTAAAAGAGAAAAATACTAAGAAAAGGTGGTTGCGTTTATGATGACAATGGGTTTCTAGTTTCACCATTTAAAAGGAGTCATTTTAATCTCTGAAAGCCCATGGACATTAACTAGAAATCACAAAGAATAAGAATGCTAACCTACCACGGTGGACAATTAAGACGCTAGAAGCAAGCACCAGTTCCAGTATGCTTAGTGGGCTGAAATGGATTACTGTGTCCCATTCCAGGTTGGAGAGTTGACAGTCCAAACAAGACATTTATTGATTAACAGAACACCCACTAGGTGCCAAGAACATACCATATCCTGAATATTTTAATAGTCAGCTTGCACACAATTTTTATAGTGGGGGAAAAATGCTGAAAGATCCAAGGGCACCAAATATAACACAAATTAATTGTGTAGGTAATTTCAAGGGAAAACTTTTTGTTTTTCAAAGTACACCAATATTTGTATGGATTAACATAATTTGTCAGGCCTCCTGTTGATATCTAAATCCCATACAACATGGAGTTCACAGAAAAGTAAACTTCACAGTCATCATTTGCATATATATATATATACACGTTCATAAACTCCTAATGCGTCTTTTTTGAGTTCAGGGCATGCACATATCCCACAGTCGAGTGGACACATGCTGACCGCATGTGAGTTTTGCCATGGACAACAAGCATCCATCCCTTCCCTGGACAGCGCAGCATGCTGTACCGCAATCTGCCAGCTCAGCCTGGCAACGCCAGAGCACGTATCTGCAATTCACTTAAGAGGAGAGGAGAGATGCACACACACCTTGATATGGTCCATCATAAGTTGCTTCTGTGCATATAAAAGAGAACAGTCTGGACACTTGAAAACAGACACCTTCTGGTTTTCAATGTGCTGGTCAAAGTGGCGGTACAGCAAGGTTTGCAGGGTGAACACAGTGTCGCACATGGAACATTTATAGATTATTCTAAAACAGAAGAAGTGCAGCGAAATAATGTCAGTCAGCCTCATGTCTCAAGTCAAAGACGTGCCAGCTGGCATCTGAAGACCTCAGGAGGCAGAAGCACGTGGAGAACACACAAACACAATTAAAAGAACAACATTTTAGCTGTGAAACAAACTTTTCAAGACAACTGGCATCACTCAATCACAGATCAATCTTAACATTCTAGATAAAGATGTACTAAGCTATATCTGTTTAGAAGTCTACATTAATGACCATTTCACTGACAAATCTACAACTGGCATGTATTTGTCAAAACCTTCACATTACTTTAACCCAAAGCAGAGGCATCCTTTGAGGAGGAGTGCTTAAGATCAGACTTGGCCGTCCAGCTCAAAAATGGGACCCTAACCTGAAAAAGAATTTGATTAATGAGCTCCACAGGCCCATTCAGCTCAAATGCCTGAGTAAGTTATTTATTCCAAGTTTTCCTTTAAAGTTAGCAGCAGTTTTATACATTATTATCAACATTTCTAGACCAGTTCTTAAAAAAGGAAGCTCTATGCCAGTAGTCGTGTACTGAGATAAAAAGACAGAAAAGCCCATACTACAAGAAAATTCGTTGTTTCTTATGCTCTCAATGACTGTGAGAGTGGACTCTGTCCACTGCAACTATTTCCACCCCTAACATCACACCAAGCAAACTCCCTATATTAATTCAGCTGACCAGATTGTTCTGCGTGCAATCCCTCCTACCCCCCTACACCTTGCACGAGGGAGCCTGGGCAAGCAGTGTTTGGCCGAAGTGAAGCGCACCACTCTCTCGACCACCCCTCGCCTCTGACCAAGCTGACCGTCACTGCGAGCAGCTCAGACCACAGCAGGCCACACTTCTGAGTCACTGCTGGTCATCTAGCCCGAGGGAAGCCACTATCAGTTTCTGTGTATGTCCTGGAAACAACAGTAGGAACAGGCACAGAGAATCTAGAGGCAGCTTAGGAAAAGTCCAGAGAAAAACAAGCTGGAAGGTGAAGGCTGCAGAATAAAAAAGAAAAGCTGAGGTTGCGCTTGATACTCCCACAGCAAAGTCAAAGAAAGAAGTGCCCTGCAGCACCGCTTGTCTTTCCTCTCAGGCTCTTTCTAAGGCAGTGCTTCTCACTCAGTTTCAAACTTCACTGTGCAGTGCTCTGTCAAAAGATTACAAATTTAACTCCTTTTTTTTTTTTTTTTTTTTTTTTTTTTTTTTTTTTTTTGCTTTTACTACATGATATTTATAAACTTAATTGGAGTGGCACATATTCTTCCAGGGTCTTACACATTAATTTTCACCCCTGACTGGGGATATGGCAAAGATCAGACAATGTCTTGCAGGACTTTACAACGAAGCCCAGTGCTGGCAGCCCGCATAGCATTTCAGCAAGTGTAACAGGCATGAAAAGATGTTCACTCCTCACTGTTGCAAATCATCACGGTTTACAGCCCCAACATCCAATGACATAAATGGTTAACAGAGCAACCATGTAGCTTTTTAATGTTGTTGCAGACACGTACCAATGACGAAGGACTTTCACACACACACACACACACACACACTCTCACACACACACACACACACACACACACACACACACACAAACAGGTAATAAGACAGTATTATGACATACTCATATTTTTCATGAGTATAAAAGAGCTCAAAGGGCTGGCCAATAGCTCAGCGGATTAAAGCACCTGCAAGTGGGCACGGGGGCTGGGGGTTCGATCCCTGGGCCTGCCGTGCTGGTCCCACCCCAGGGTGCACTGTGCCAGCCACCTAGACACAGCATGGTGGTGCACACCTCTAATCCCAGCACTGGGAAGGCTGAAAACAGAAGGATCACTGAGTCCAAGCTGTGTAGTCAGATTCTATACCAAATATATAAAAATTGAGGGGGGAAAATTGTCTTCCATTTCAGAAGTAACTTTTGTGAAAAATGGCATGGTTCTCATTTTATTCAAGGTACATTACGGGGGGGGGGGTATCTGTTTTGAGACGATGTGCCATATCCATTAAATGAGTGCAAGGACTCGGCATTGTCCAGATGAACCTGAGAACCAGGCTGCTGCTAGGTTACTGGAATACCTTCCCACAAACACTAACAAACATAAAAGGGAACTTTCTCCGGCACATTATACAGTGCAGTATCCTGGGAGACACACACCTAGCTCAGTGATAAAGGTGGCACCACGAATAATAAGCAAGATGGAAAAACACTGCCTGAGCCCCCCAGTGGTACCCCATGAAAGGAGTACACCATCATTTCTGAGACAACTCCTACCAAGAATGTGTGTCCTGTGAAAAAACAACACAGACAGATGGAAGTCATCCTTAGGATAAAAGGCCTGTGGCCTCTTTTGAACAGCCAGGATATGGGGGGATGAGACAAGGCAATTATAGCTGAAGAGCACACCCAGATTAGAATCTTGGAGATAGTCTCAACAACTAGAGAAGTATGGAGGTAGTCTCCAAAGGAATGGTATTGTAAATCAGTACCAACTTAACTTGCAACTATGTAGTAATGATTTACATGTATGTCCTTTTTGAGGGGAGGAACAGAACTCATGGAGGTATTTAGGTCACAGTGTCCCTGTTGCTCCTAAATACCGGAGAACACTGGTAGGATATAAGAACAGCGGGCCAGAGCCGGATCTAACACTAAAGTGTCACTAACAACTGTGGAATCTGGTAAAGAGGGTGCAAGAGTTCTTGGTACCTTCTTTCAACCTTTTTGTAGGACAGAAACTATTCAAAAATGCTGCTAATGTTAAAAAAAAAAAATGAGGCATAGGGACAAATAAAGATGGAATAAACTCTCTGACAACAATGGAAAAGCCAAAGGGAGTCAATGTGCCGGGCAGAGAGGAGGTACAGCTGTCCTGACAGCGAGGGACCCTGGTACATGGGCTGAGCTCGGCACAGCTGCAGCAGCGGAGGCACAGCTGACCAACAGGGAACCTGGGTTCCTGGGGGCAGGTGAGGCAGGAGAGTGAGGCAGAGCTGTGCAGGGCTCAAAAATCAAACCCTAAAACCAAACCCTATACTGAGTACAAGTAAGTGCACTGTATAACAAAAGGGAAAGAGGACAGGCAGACGAAAAGAAAAAGGGAGAGGAAGCAAGAGAAGACAAAGGGAAGGAGAAAGAGAAAAGAACAGACAGCTAGAACCAAACACACCCTTTAATGTCAAACTCACAGCAGCCAAAACTCTCCAGAACACAGTGTCACACCTGAGTTGGACATAAAATAAAAATAAAAATAAATAGAACAAGAAATTCCACCCTCCAAATTGCTGCCATAGACTTCCTACTTCACCAATGACGGAACCCAACTAGACGCCAAGTACCTCACTCCACATCGCACACCTAATCCTCACACTCAGGTGCATTTACACCGCCGACCAGTTCACAGATGGCACATTAAGACTCAAGAGTTAAAAAGCATTTGCTCAATAGTAAATAAATCACAGGGCCATGGCTCAAATCCAGCTTTTCTGAGGCCTCCTTGCCTCCCAGTCCTCTAGCATGCAGACGTTCTAGCTTTTCATGATTTCTTAGAAAGTTAAGAACTCTGCGTCTTCTATACAATTTTTAACTTGAATTATCATTTCTCCTCTCACATATTTAGAAATAGCAAATAAAAGGCACCGCAAAATAAAACACTGTTAATCAATGCTGATGAAAAAATATAAAGAGACAAAAATTTCTTCCCATAAAAATACAGCAGAAGACATTCAAAACAATTTAAATTACTGAGAAAATACTGAAAAATGTTCAATGTTGTCTTTTTTTCCCCCAGAGACAGCAGGGTCCTAATATGTTATCCAGGCTAGGTTTGCATTCCTGATCTTCCTGCCTCAGCTTCCCCAGTATTGACAAAGTTTTGGGCTGGGAATATAGCTAAGTGGTGGAGCATTTGCCTAGCATGCATGAGGCCCTGTGTTCAATCCCCAATACCACAGAAACAAAGTGCTTACAATAGTAGCCGGTACACAGTAAATACTATATAAATGTGTGTTAACTTAGCATCTTGCATTGTTGGCCATAGTTGCAGCACAAGAATACAGTGTGTACTTACAGGTGCCAGGCCCGGTGTCTGAACCCCGGCAGTGCAGACACACACGCGCGCGCGCGCGCACACACACACACACACACACACACACACAATAGATAAATGAATGAATAAATAAATAATCAATCTTACATTGTGCTTTTCAAATTGAGGTGCTGGGGCTGCAGAACTCTATGGTGTATTTTCAAACATCCATATGTTCACTAAAGACAATGGGCGGAGGATTATTTTAATACTGATTATTAAAAACTAATGCAAATCATTGTGTAATTTTGGACTGTTCACATGACTGCCTGTTAACCAAATACTCCTGGGAGATTTCAGTGCCCAAGTTTTCTTTGGAGTGGAGACTACTTAACTCAATTTGGACTGACTGCCAAAGTGCTTTGGACATAATGTTTTTGGGTCAAAGGTAGGCCCAATGGCACCAAGATGAGATTTACAGTAGCATGAATTGAAAGTGGTGGCAAAGGGAGGGCTGCCTCCAGCCCACCAGAGCAGAGGGCTGCATGCCTGAACAGCAGGGGCAGCAGTGCCCTTTGCCGCAGCAGTGGTGTCCCCAAGAACTGGATGCAGCCAAAGCCCAGTCGTACAATCAAAATAACGCTGGTGACTTAAACTTTGTTGGTTTAAAAGTTTTGTGTGTTCTTCTGTAAAATCTATTAATTACTTAGTTTTATTCCTTAAAATATAGTAGCGTACCTAATTTTAGGGTTGCACTTGTTAAAGAACCATGGTAGTAAAAAAAAAAAAGAAAGTATTTTAAAAAACTGGAACATCTTTTTCCTAAAAATACAGCTGTCTTCCTTTATCCACGGGCTATACACACCAAAAGCACCAGGGATCCCTGAGGCTGTCCTGGCATCAAATTCTGTAACTTAGTGCTGTTTTTATCTTGGTGCTTTTTATGCATTATGGCTATAACTTTTGCTACTCAAGGTGATTGCAAAACTAACACTAATTTCTTTTTTCTTCTCCATAATTTCATGAATAGATTAATTTTTATCATAGATCTTAGCAACCTCAACATATTATTTTTTCTTTCCTTATTAAATGTAAACAACTTTAACCGCCTTCTTTAAAGGACGCACTTTGTGCTTCTCTTTGGCATATGTGCATCACCAGCACGACAAACCATATGTTTAGGAATCATTGTTAAGTAAAACAGAGGTCACTAACACAATGACTGCCACACTGCAAGTCGATCCTATTGGCCTCTGTGTTGCTAACAGGGAGGCAGCATATGCAGCAAGGATACACTGCACAAAGGGATGATTCAGGCCTGGATGGAGCAGGATAGCAAGAGATTCTGTTATACTGCTCAGAATGGTGCACAATTTAAAACTTAAAAGCTGTTCATTTCTGGAATTTTCCACATAATACTTTCAGATCATGAGTAACTGAAACCACAGAAAGTAAAATTGTAGTTACTTTACTGTATTCAAATTTGAGGCATATCTTTTTAGCTTAATGTAAACATCTGGTGCACTATATTCCCAGATTACAATGAATATTCCAGATTTAATAAACATTTCAGACAATAAAGTTTAATTTTTTTGAATAAGGATCCAAATAGTTATATTCACTGGGAGAGAAAGGCAGGTCTTAATGCCACGAACAATGACAGACACTAACACTCACTAATCCCTATCTTCAAAGGCAAGGCACCAAGTGGCACATGGATCCAATTTCTAATGTGTTTTATTTTGCATCAAAGTGAAGGTCCTATTAGAATAAAATTAGAATTTAACATTTTTTAGTAAATAACCACTTCTATTTGCTCTGTAAATATTCAATCACAAATCCTCATAATTATAGTAAAAAGCTATGTCTAAAGAAAGATATAGACATTATTATCACATGTTTACATATTTTCCTATGACAACCTCTTGATAATGGAGTTCTAGACAAAAATGTACCAACAGACTTGGAGAGCAAATGTAGCCCTGAATAATTATCAAACTACCCTGTCACAGTGAAACCAGAAATGGGATTAATACAACCAGAAATATCTAATGCAGAGCTATATGAACAAGAAAGAATAAAGAAATGTAGGAAGGAACTAATGTTTCCACATTCCCACAGATGGGACAGTCCAGCACACATTTTAAATATGTCATTTCATTTTAGCTTCTCAAAAATCACAGGATGCAAGCCTCACTCTCAGTTTAGAGGAGAGCAAACAGAGCTAAGAATGGTAACAGCCCCAGTACATAGCTTGCAGGTGGCAGGAGCATGACCAGCCCCTACGCTCAGGCACCCTCCTCTCTATCACCCTCCCTTCCTGCAGGAAGGCGTGCCCTGTCCATTGAAGAGCCAGCTCACTATTAAAGACTCCACCACAAAGGACAGGAATTTAGTTCAATGCCACTGTACCTGCCTGGCAAGCACAAGTTCCTGAGTTTGATGCCTGTTACCCCCTCTCCCCCAAAAAAGACTAGCACAAAGCAAAAATTTTGGTAAAATGAAGACCAAAATTAAGGCAAAAAGAAATTTTTTCCTACTAAAAAGGATTTATATTGGTGATGTTAAACTCATTAAGACATTAACCAATGTCTTAAACTGACTTCATACTGTAAATGCTAACTGAGAAAAGTGTATCTTATTAGGACAAAATTACAAAAAATAAATAAAGGGCAGTTTTTAAAAAATAATTTTCCTAGAATTCACTTGTGAAAATCATCTTAACAATAAAATATATAATCACTTTATCAAAAACTGATGACAAGAGCATAAATAATAGGTGACAACTGGGGACAAAGGTTTTTCCTGAAAAGAACAGAAATGTTTGTGTGAGCTATGAGCTACACTTCTTTGAGCATCAAACTTGGAATAGTTGCATCATTTTCTGCATCTTAAATTTTATTCAAAAGAAGGACTACCTCCTCTAAATTGCTAGTAAAGTAGAGGAGCACAAACTGGAAGTTGGTATGACTTACTTTGGTTCTCCTATCTTGACGCCAGGATGCTGAGTGTAGGCGTGAGAATGTGTACTCGGGGCAGACTTAAATGCCATTGGACAGATAGGGCACTTGTAGAAGACTTCACAGTGAGAGCCTTGAATGTGAGACTTCAGTGCAGCCACATCAGAGTACACAACATTGCAATGTACACATCTGTTAGAAAAATAACACAGTCATTAGCACAGATCTCTACACATGCATGACTTCTCTGTGTAAGACCTGGGTAAGACGAACATACAGTATAGCCAATTTAGGTTTCTAAAAGACTTTTTCAAGGTATTTCTTTCCTATTTACAATTGGTGAAAATTATTTTTCCATGTTTATGAGGGAAGGTCATGAAGAAGAAAAACAAAACTCAAAAGGTCATTTTTTCAAGCATTTTTTTGAGCCTGTAAACTCATGGGAGCCAAATCAGTTTATGGAACAAAATAAGCCCCCAACTCCTGGCTTTGGTGAGGACTTGCATATGGGCGGGACTGTGACACAGGGCCTGAGGCTCCCACCCAACCAGTCTGCAAATGGCATTTCCAATGGAAGAAGCCCTCGGAGACAGAACCCACATCCTCTCCTGGAGAGGCAGAGACACAGAAGAGCACGAGCTCCCAAGTGGTACCCGTTGTCTCTTGGTGCATACTGTGTGGCTGAAGCATCTGGAATACTTAATACATGGTGACCATAGTGTGAAGAAGGTCAACCCCTAGGGATCTTTTCCCATCTAGAAAATAAGTGTGAATATATTTGATATACTCAAGAAAGTACATGAATTATAAGCTTCTGAAAAATTAGTATCCCAAAAAGCAATGCCTCTAGCTAATTTCCTTACTTTTCAAATTCAAATAATTTAACAATAAAGTCATTTCTCATTCTAATCTACCCCATAGAAACAGACTTTTAAGGACTCATTTCTCCTCAAACTCCTCATTTCACACATGACTCAGTGGCACTTATGTCACTTCCACTTGAGGATAGTCATCTTTGTTCTGAAAACTATGCTGTAGCGTCTCCCTACAGCTTCAGAAATCTCCCGAGATTTACTTCAATGCACCTGAGCATGGGCTCCTGGACATGTGTGTGAATTACCTGGGAAGACCGCAGAAGGGCCCTGCCTTCTAGGAAGCAGTGCCCACTGGTTTCCATGGTGGCCTAGGACATCTCCATGCTCAAAGGATCCCTTCAAAATCATGGTGATACTGTACTTGCAAAGCCACATACAAGTGGCATGTTCTGAACTCTATGAATTATATAAAAGCATGCCACATTAGGCTTTGCACACATTTTTTTTAAAAAAAAATATATAATTAATCCATTAGTATTGTGAATGTTTTAAGGCACAGTGTTCATTACCACAAACAAAAAGACACTAATACCAGGAAAACAGAAGGAAAGCGTCACTATAGCATCTACTAGAACTGTCATTTCAGATAACACAGGCACCACCCAAGACACTGAAACTCTTCTAAGTCAATTTGTCTTGAATAGGATAATGTTCCTTTATGGACCAGTCACTTCTAAAATTAGAAGAGATGAAAAGGATAGTTTTTAGTCCTTCTTAAAACTAGAAGCACATGACTCTAAGGCAAGGGGTAAAATGCAAAATGGGAGTGGAGAGGTTAATAAGAAAGGCAGGGATCCGCCATGCCACATACCATAAAGATCTTCCCACCAAGAGTACAAAGGTGATGCTCAAAAGTTAAAAGACCAGGGAAGGACAAAACAAAGAAAAGCACCAATTCCCTGAAGTCATTTGCAGAGACAAGATGGTTTCATTTACAGAAAGTACAAAGAAAGTTAAAAGTCTTTAAACTACAGGTGGCAGTTTCTGAAGCAGAAGAGAATGGTATTAATTTAGTCCAACAAAAACCACCAGGGAAGTCAAAAGAAAGCCCTCCTTTTTTAAAGTGAGGTAATGCTGGGGACTGAACTCAGGGCCTCTCTTATATGCCAAGCAAATGTTCTATCACTCAGCTACACCCTGCCCTACTTATTTTAAGACAGGGTAAAGTTATCCAGGCTGCCCTTGAACTTATTTATTCTGCCTCAGCTTCCTGTGTAGCTGTGATTATACATGTGTACCACCCAACCTGGCCTGAAAAAGTTTTCCTTAAGGTGACAAAAGAATGCAGAGTATTTTTAATGTCTTATAGGACAAAGTTATATAGCACCTATATACAGGTGATAGAAGGCTCAGGGCAACATAGATAAGCAGGGAATGCAAGAGAGGTAGGCAAAGAGAGGCAGTTTCAAGGACATATGAAGTACCTTAATGCTAAAAAAAGTTCAATGTATTGAAAAATATTTAATATACCCTTAAATTCTGTGTCCTAGCTACAATCAAGTCTCCCCCTCCACTTTTTTTTTTCTTTTTGAGAGAGTTTTGCCATGCAGTTCAGGCTGGCCTTCAAGTCACTTTGTAGCCCAGGCTGGCCTTAAACTCACAGCAATCCTCCTGTTTCAGCCTCCCAAGTCCTGGGATTTCAGGCTGTACCACCACTCCTGGCTCCTTTCTTTGTTTTACCTTTTCTTTCTTTCTTTTTTTTTAACAGCACACAATCTTATAAGATGTAGTTCCAATGTATCAGGAGGCAAGAAAATTCAGAAAACGACTTAACTTTCATCAATATTTGACTTTTACCAACTTAATTAGGAACCAAAGGACCTATTAATATTCAAGAAATGCAGCATGAGCAAGAAGAAATTAAGACACCTCCATCAGAAACAGACAAAGGTAGGTGTGGGAGTCATGTGACAGACTTCTCTGGATACGGGAAAACACAACCAAATAATTAGCTATGCAGCCAAAGGGAAAGACAAACATGACAAGGTCAACAGCCTGTCAAGCCAGTGAAATATCAGACTGGACCGCTATTTAAACAGCAGGGGGAAAATATTAAGGTTAAAAATGTTTATCTCTCTTCTCAAGGAGATATAAGCTAAGCTTCATAACAGACTTAATAGTATTAATAGGTAATAGTACTTTTACAGCGTATACAGCCTCCAGGTAGGAAGAAGGCAATTATATTTAATACAAAACTTAAAACTTTGAAATCTGTAACGTAAAGCACCAAGTTTAAGAAACTAGATAAATCAAAAAGGGAGGCACAGAGGGTCTTTTCCAAGTGAGGTGATTACTTTCAGGATGCATGCTGACTGTCTGTTTTAGGAAAGACACCAGGAATAGCTTTATGCCATAGGTGGCTTGTTTTCATTATGTTAGAATAATAAAGTAAACATTTGGGGAAAGTCTAGCATTAATGAAAAAAGCAGGTGAGGCAGAGCTGCTTTCTAATACTATACAATGGAATCTACTAATACTAGTTTCAAGAGACGTAGTAAGATGAAAAGTATCATCCTGCATGGACGTGGAAGATCTAAGGCATCTGGTTAACCTGTTTGTAACATCCAAGTGGTACTGGATGCAGTCAGCCCACCAAGTTTAAAGCAGGGCACCACAGCACAGAAAGAATGCATGGATTTCCACACAATTAGTCACAGGTAAGACAGCTACTGTACATAAAACTCTGGTTTATTGATTTGTAAACCAAAAGACTCCTAACACACTAGATCCAATCCATAAAACTTATGCACTACAGGTTTAGAGGAATAAGAAAAGGTCAGTCTCATAATTTAGTATTAGAAAAAAATGGGCAAAACTACTCAATGATACCATAATCTAAGTTTAAATGAAATAAAACCACCAAAACAATCAAATCATAACAGGATTTCATTTTTATAAAATATAACCTGGCCATAATTTTAAAAAATAGTGCACATTTAACAATCTAATATTAAAGTTACTTGTTAATCAAACAATATTATGATAAACAATACAGTAATACCTCTATTAATAAAGACGCTGTGCTATACATGACATGTTCTCTTGGAGGAGTTTCATGGGATCAAAACACACATGGCCCAGGAATGCACTTCAGAGGGTCATAAAGTGGTGAATGAAGTCCAGTATATTGTCACTCAATACTCAATTAACATTAAATTTGCCAGATACTGTAAAATACACATCTGGGAATTTTTGAGAGCAGTCAAAAGGGCCACAGTTAAGCTGTGCAGAACAGACAGAGAAACCTGAGCTCAGAGAAAGCAGGAGCAGGAAGGGCAGGCATGATTATTTGGAGTGGAAGATTCTTCCACAATAAGTAACGTAAGATTGAAAGGTATATATCAGATCCTTTGGTATAAAGTAACTATCTCCCACTTGTTTTCATTAGCAGAAGTATTAAAAGATGCAGAAATACATGGTATTCTTTCAGGAGTTAACACAGGCAGTGCTTTTTACAACAAAAGTATGCTAAACAACAAAGGTTTACTAAAGTTTGATGTAAGGGTTCATGCCTATAATCCCAGCACTCTGGGAGGATGAGGCAAAAAGAACACAAGTTTGAGCCCAGTTTAAGGAACTTGGCAAGACCCTGTCTCCAAACAATAAAAAGATGTGGGATGTAGCTCAGTGCCTAGGCCTGAGTTCAATTGCGAGTACAGTGCTCCCCCTCAAGTGTACTAAAAATGATGCAGACAAAAAGGGCTGTGACAGTCGATCAAGGCCAGACTTCCACCCAAGCACACCATTACCTAACAGGACTGGCTCACCCATCCTCAGCTTTGTATGGACGGCAGGGCCAGCATGGCCTCAAAAGGACCCAAACAGGCTGGCTGGAGCGCACAGGAGGCACGCGTCCAGAGGAACTGTTAATTGAGGTATTACTGCATGAGCCTATGTGCACAGATCACTCCAACCACAGAGTAGTTATTAGTGAACAATATACTGACCGAAAACCAACTCTCCTCGTGTAGTGCAGACAGTTCTTGGTGACGTGGGTCTGGAAGTGCACCGACCTGCAGATGGCCCCGCACTCGGGACAGGTGTAGGGAGATTTGTGCTGATGGATTCTCTGGTGTGATGCATAACTGCACTGGTTAGGAAGCAGCATCTGGCAGACAGTGCAAGTCTTCTAAATAAACCAAAGGGGGAAACAGTGTTGGTCCTGCTAAGTATTTTCTAAAATGCAAAGAACCTTCATTAAACCTCACAGTAATTATATCTCTCTCATTTCAAACACTATTATAATTGATTTTATGCCCAACGAAAGAGCAAACCTGAAAAGTATATGTTCAATGAAAAATTCTTTACCCTGTAAAAAATAAAAACTCTCTGTGTTGGGTTGTCAGGCTTATCCCAAAGTACAAGCTAAAGAGAATGCCAGCCTTAAATAGTTACTTTTGCGTTTTGTTTAATGCAAGGAAGAGACATTCTTGCAAATTGTGGTAGCAGCTTTAATGTACTGTATTAACAAGTTTTCAGCTCTATGTATCTAGTGGGTAGTCGCAGTTCCCATGATTCATAGAAGTTCTTGTTTCTCCCTAGTCATTTCAGTCATCTGAATTCTTAAACACAGGATGGGAAAGGCATGGCCACAGCAATTACTTTCCCTTTCTACACTTAAATCTGACCTTTAAGTGGACAAACTGGCTATAACATAATTTATAATTAAGACCAATGAACTCCAGCTCTGATATATAAATGTAGGCGTTAAGGTGAAATTCTATAGAGCTTAAGATCTCACTACATTTAAAATAAAGACTGAAATCATCGTTAGAAAAGGCTCTATGGCATTAACTATCCAGGAAAAAAAAAAAACCTTTAAGTATACTATTTTTAATCCCTTTACATGTTAGCACCATACACAGTATAATTTAAAAACAAAAAAAAGCCAATATAAACTGGGACCTTATTACTTCCACTCTAAAAATAACCCTAAAACAACATGAAATAAAATGTGCTTGAATACTTTGATATTTATGCAAAAACATGTATCTACTACCTCTAAAATATATGATTTGTATTTCTATTAAAGACAAAGAAAGCTTAATACAAATTAGTGCTAAGATTTTAAACATTTTCATATTGACAACAGAGTTACAAATTTTAAAAGCTTCTACCTTTTGAGTAAGCCCAAAATATAAAGTTTAAATTGCAGAGTGACTTAGACCAAGAAAAACAGGAAACTCACTTGAAAATTCTTTCTTGGTTTTCTCCTGAAAGGACTAAAATACAAATTTTATTCCATAAAATGTTTATTATAATCACAAAACCATAACATACAGGCAGCCTTGATGAGGTTAGCATTATTTAAAAATGGCGTTCCTTTTCTAATAACACATATTTCAAAGGTCAAAACAAGCCACAACAAGAAAACAATCAATAGATTCATCACCACAAGGTCCTGTTAACATCTACATTATCACCAGCAATCATTTTGTTTCTTTGGACTAAAATAGTCTTCTATCTACTGTCACACAGTTCTTAATCCCAGGCCATGAATTAGTGATGACTGGACTTCACAGGCATTTTGGAATGTCTTGCACTTACTTGGGAATAAAAGTCATAATGCTGCTACTAAAAGAAGTAAAAAAAAAAAAAAAAAAAAAAAATCATGGTATATCTACACATATATCCATACATACATATCATGCATTTATATACACACACATATTATATGCATATGTATATATAAAAATGTATAGATCCATTTCACCAATGAGCCACATGATAAATTAGGTACTTTAAATACATAAATAACTTTGAGTACATCATCTCGTTTATTTCTCATAGTAATCTGTAAAGTAGACAATACCTCTATTTACAGATGCAGAAATGAGGCTTAGTAAAGAAATTTGCCCAAAACCCCACCCGCTACAACGTGCAAAAATCAGGACTGGATCAGGTTCTAGTCTAATCAGGCCTAACTTAATTCTAAGGTTTCTGATGGAGGAATGACGGACGGAATGGATGGAGGTTATAAGGAATGAACAAAAGGAAAAGTACATAGGATTGACAACTAAGCGAATAAACTTGAATGCCAAACACACCCATGGCATGGTTAAGATTAGAAAGAAATCTGTCCCCCCACCACTGCAGCTTCTTTGTTATCTAAAGTATTGCACTCTACAATACTAGTTTTTTGACAGTACAAAATAAAAAGAAAATCTAAGAGTATAAAGTGTTGCCTAAAATCTGTAGAAAAACTTTTTCATGTTACCTTTTGCAATATAGTAACAAATGGTTCACCTTCACAATACACATGCAATGCACGGTGAGTTACTTAAACCCATCATCAAGTCTCCCCGCCCCAGACCACAAGAATCAGTGTGTATCCTTTCCACTGACCAAGGTTCTTCCCCACATTACATACCCAGAAGCATGAGGACAAAAGGACAGCCAGTAAGGACCACAGCCTCAAATCAGTTCATATTCTGCAACTGCCGACATGGGGGAATGTGTCATCCGAGAGTCACGCTGAGCACAGGGGCCTTACCTTGTTTACATAGACACATGCATATTTTTAGACATACGCTGCATCCACTCCCACGTCTGTTTACCAGCTTCCACACCTTGCCTCCATTCCACTTGGAGAACAGTGTTTTCCTTTGTTTATAGACTCCTGAACGTTTACACAGCACTAGCAGTTTTACACCCTTGACAGGATTTACTTCGCTTTACTCTGAACCTAACTGAACCTATTTTATAGGACACATGTCATTCCTGGGCCCTGAGAGAGTCATATGTTTTCACACCACAAGTGTACATTCCACTAGTTTTTTCTTTGATACTCTAAATTCAGAACAAAGGTGCACATTTTTCTAGATTTAGGGGATGCACTTGGGGGAAGCCTGCAAAGATTTTTTTATGGTTTAAAAGAGTCTGATTTTCCCTTCCTCCTTTCTTTTTAATCAAAGAATTGAAATACATCTAAAAATCCTTCACTCTCCACTTCACATGCTGAGGCTACTGACTAGACAAGGAAGCAGCTTAATTTGCTGGCACCTGCATTTTTAGATGACGCATGATGCAGTGTACTCAAATGCTCTTATGTCTCTTGATATTTTACTTATGTCATCAGAAAAGAGATTCATGTTTTAGATACTCTGGTAATACTTGATTTCTACTCTGGCACAGCCTCACCTGCTCAGGGAACTGTTACTTTTTAAGACAGTCACTACTTTCTAGTCGAGTCAGGAGGTACTAAAAAGCTACAGGAAAATAAAGCTGCAAAGTTATCATACCCCCCACTTTACAATTACCCTTCTTGAGCCCTTTCAGCCCCATCCTGGCACAGAAAGCATTGCTGATACATGACGTACAGATGCAGGCAGGCTGCAGGGGAGGGCAAGGGGGCCAAGTCAGCCCTAAGAACGAGTCAGAGAACGTGGAGCTCAGCATCCTCTTTCCATCTTGAGGAAATATCAGCGTAACGAAGAAAATAGTCTACATGTTTCAATTCGTATTTTAGAAAGACAAACAGCCTGAGAAAGGGACAAGAGAAGGGTGAAAAATGTGAATAAACATGGCATATTTCATGCTTAAATTCAAACAGACCAAAAGCTGCAACAACATGAAATAGTAAATTCAAAACACTGTCAGTTTAGTAATCTGCCAGATGCTAAGTAAACTACAGTTGCCATATTAACAGAAGTTCCATAGTCTAACTACAGTATAATTACCAAAAAACAGTAATAATAAAACATACCAGCTTATTTTCTGGCTTCCACATTCATCCAATTCCACAGTAAGAACACAAAGAAAACTCTTCATTTCAGATCTTACTGAAATGGGAACAAAGCAAGCATTTTGGGAGAACCGACTACAAATACCCTTTGTGGAAGAGCTTTGCCCTCAAATCACTCTACTACATCTAAAATCTCTAGGAAGAGTTGGCAGTTCAATGATAAAGTTGACTGAAAGCTGCATGGACGCCATATACACCCTATGTAGATTATCATCCCTGCAGAGCACAGGTATATTTGAGAGTTAGTAACGCAAAAATGTGAACTGGAACAAGACTACTATGAACAAAATAAAATCAGAAAGCAAGACCAAAAATCAAGTCATGAATCTTAGGTGGTGAAGGGGAGGCTGGGAGGGCCTCCTGGGTTTCCAGGAGAAGCTTTAGCAAAGTGTATTAGGAACCGTACTGCCCACAAGAACTTAACATTCTTAATGTTAATGATGCCCAGACAGCTCCTGAAACTAAAGCGAACAGCGAGTGACCCTGTTAAATGAGGGCACCTGCAGTCATTTACTCCACCTTTATCTCAATTTCTAAAGCCAACTTGGATATAACATAAAGGGTCCTTTCTTATGCATGACACACTGAGCTATGATGGCCTAAGCTTCTGTGTCCTGGGGCATTAGCACAAGGCAGCGAAAGGTAAAAGAAAGCCAGCAGCAAATAAACTTTGCCTTAAAAATACTGTTTTAAAGAAAGAATGCCCTGAGTCCTGGTTATCCTGCTAACTAGGCATTTGTTTCTCCAACTGCAAAATGAAAGTAGCCCAAAGGGAGTGAATACAGTCTCTTGATTCTATGCCTGGCATAAATTCTATAGAAAGAAAACAGATTTTAACAATTAAGAGGCTACAGCAGGCACTTCCAGTCTCAACTCAGCTATAATCATGGTTTTACTAAGACGTGAAGCAATGATGTAAATATGGTTAACTATCAATTGCTAAAACCACAGTCATGAGCTCTTGAACACTTCATGGAGACAGCCTCCCACCCCACCCCTTTCCCAAGGTACCCCAAGGCAGGCATGAGGTACCAGGCGGGTCAGAACAGAAGCTACCAACTGAGGTACATTTACTGGTGTGAAAAGGTCAAGTGGACACAACCCATTTTCATTGCATTCCTTGTTTTCCATACAGCCAGGGAGAGACCTCACCCTCTCTCTCCCAGCTGCCCCACTACCCACCCCCCTCTTCAACAGAAATAATTTCTTTCCATAGAAACCAGAAGAAAGCAAGGCATTCTCACCTCAGCAGGTTGTGAGAAACGTCAAGATTGGATTCAAGCTTGGACAAAAGAGAAAACAAAGAAAGCTTAAACCAAGCCCTGTATCCAACCCAGCTCTTCTGGGGCCTGCTCTGGGGTGTAGCCTGAGCACACAGCTGGCGGAAAGGGCTCTGAGATGAGATGATTGTTACTTTTGTACAGACCATCACAGACAGCAGAGGAGGCAAGCAACTGGTAAGGCAGAACACAGCAGCCGCCAACAGTGCCCCCTTTTGTGCCATGACAAACTGAAGGCTGAACACCCATGTACAGAACCTGCGAGGAAGAAGGGGTGCACACAGCCTCCATTGGGGGTTGTGAGACCAGAGCGTTCCAGACCACACAGGGTATAAAAGATAAGAAAAGGAGAGTGAGGATGAAGAGAGGGAAGAGATGAGTTTGGGTTAAGCCAAGAAACGGTGTTCTGAGAAGACTGAGGATCCGCTGGGCTCACCAGATGAGGTAGGAAGAAAGGTAAGCCTCCATTCTAACTCAGGGTGAGGCTGGGGAAAGCTAGGGCAAATGTGGGCGAGCCCATCCCCAGGTAAGTGACTGGGACTATCAATGGCTATCATAAGGCGGAAAGGAAAGGGTGCTAATCCATGGAACGTGGCAGTCAACAGAAAAAAGAGGCTCCACACAGTCCTGGTCTGCAAGTGACACTGGCTGGGGGTGGCCAGGGGGCTTCCCCTCCCCTTCAGACAACTTGGAGCCTCCTGCATGCTAAGCCAGCCCTCTATCCTTGTGCTACAACCCAGCTCGTTTTAGGGTCATACTAAGTTGGCCTGACTGTTCTTCACCTTGTAATTCTCCTGAGTCAGCTTCTAGAGTAGCTAGAATTACAAATGTGCACCACCATGCCCAGCAAAGAAACCATTTCTATAGGTACATTTTTCCCAAGTTGAATTCAAGTTCAAATTATAAACTGGCCAACAGTCTAACTAGCATGCTGGAAACATGGAATGAAGATCATGTTCCTTTCTCTCCTTTCTTCATTTTTTTGGGGGGAGAGGGGAGTAACTGGGGATTGAACTCAGGATCTTCACACTGAGCCACACATCCCCAACCCTTTTCTGAATCAGGGTCTGGCTACATCGCCCATGCTGGGCTCCTTGGGATCCTTTACCTCAGCCTTCCAAGTGCTAGGATTACAGATGTGTGCCAGCATGCCCTTCTGCCCTACCAAAGCCCTACAGTTATTCAATGCCACACTTAGTAAGGACCACCCTAGCTCCAGAACATTATGAGGTTACAGCCTCAGGGCCATATGTATCCTGCTGACCTCCTGGGATGCAGGAGAGACCCAGGTGGGCCTCATAGTAGATATTAAAGAGGATGACATGATAGAACTGGACTCCCTGATTCCAAATGAGAACCATCTGGTTGAGTATGAAAACAAGAAATTGTGCAGGGAGCTTTCAGGACCATGACTACAGTAAGAAAAGAGAAATTAATGCTAGAAAGACCCACAGGGCATTTTTATGTCTCTAACCCTGTAGGATATGGCTACAGTCAGCTGAAGCGCTCTGTCTCTGTCTCTCTCTCTCTTTGTCTCTCTGTCTGTCTGTCTGTCTGTCTGTCTGTCTGTCTGTCTCTCTCTCTCTCTCTTGCTCTATCTGTCCTTGTAGGTGCTGAGCATAAGAATTGAGTAGACACAACAAGGAAGGACAGAGACTAGGAGCAATGTGTTCTGCCTCACATACATTTAGCCCTATAGTTAATGTACATACTGCCAAGGCTCATTCCTTAGGATCCAGGTAATATGGGAGACTTGTATGTTTTACTTGTCAAGCAAAATAGAAAAGTAACAGCAAAGCCATGTCACACTCAAAAGAAGATATTTATCTCCTGTACCAGGGAAAGAGCACCCCTATTTGCATCCCTCAGTAGTTTGGTGTTGAGTCTAAAAGGTAAATAGAGAATAAAAACTGGAGAGACACTAGGAAATTGGGAAATTTCTACCTATACCCTTCCATGTTCCTGGAGAAAGAAGACAAACACATCTGAGGGCAGTTGCAAACTCAGGAGTGCCTACTAATAACGTGGTGCACAAGCCCTATGGGTCAGGCCAGAGTCCATCACCTACATTACCACGAGACACAGAAATAGGAATGTAGAACGCACTGTACCAAAAAATGGTGTTAGGGTTTTCTTTTTACTGTATTCTTTTAAAGGAAAAGAAACACTACCTTTTGAGGAAGTGATGACAAGATATAGGGGTGTGCAGATAAGACAAAGTCCAAGCGGTAACACCAGGATCTTTCCCCCAGAACCACAGCAATCACTGCTGCCCTACACTACACAGCTGCTTTTGGGATTTTAGTGTTCTACTATAGAGCTGCCAACATACTAAACATCAAACCTGCAAGAATGCTGTCTAAAGTTGTCACTGCTTCCGCCCCACTAAACCAAAAATCCAAAGAAAACTGAGGCGCTCTTGATCTTCTGTTCCCCAAACAAACTTTTACAAACTTAAATCAGTAGAAGCCCTTCAACCACTATGAAGACAACAATATGCAATGTATTAATTATTGAAACTGTCCTACTAATCGGTTTTAAAACTCATTGCTATGTTTCTCAATAAAATTAATAATAAAAATCACACAAAAAATAGTAGCCCTTCAAAAACTAATCAAGATATACCAGACTTCTAAACCATAGCTCAATTCTCCTAATGATAAAATAATTGACAAAAAGCAGAAAAAATTATTTCACACATTTGATGATTTGGACAACATAGTATGGTCTCTGGAGCCTGAAATTATTTCATTTGGCATTCCCAATTATCCCAAATATTAGGTACATTTCCTGAACACATTTATCTACTAGCCAAAAATTGCCTCATGGAGAGAAGTAAACAACAGGAACAAAAGGCCAGTGCATGCTGAGAAATAACGCTTCACTGACACCAACCAGCCTTTACCTCACTGCAAACACATGTAAAGTATGCGGTTTAACTGGACGGGGGTCTGCCATGTGTGGCTTAAACTCACTGTAGCGAAGAGCATTACTGAGTACACTTCTGAACCACTGTCTTAAGTAGACATGCCATAAAAATGGCTACCTATCAGGTGTGTTTATGTCATTTTGGTATTATAAGTAACAACAGGAAACAACTTGTAAGATTCCAACATTGTCACTAATAACTAAGAACTGTTTGAAGCCCAAAATGAATATTTAATACAGCTGAACGATATAATTAGCTAAATCTCAGACTTCTAACGTAAATTCCAATGAATGAACAATTATCTAAATCTGAAGTGCCATAATTCAACCACTTTAGGTACTTTATAGCTGGCTAAAATAATCATCTTCATGTTTCAACACTGCTTCTATTCTATGAAGAGGATCCTTTCTCCTGTGTTCACTTACACAACATTCACGCACCTACTCCTCCGCTTAACTCCTGTCACCCCTAAATTCAAGGTATCTTAGTGAGCACTCATGGCCATACCCATCACTGAAACATCAAAATTTAAATGATACTCTACTTGTCCACTTGTGTCTGCAGCCTGCTGGAAATGTGTAGCCAGTGACGTCTCATCCTGGAAGACTTCGTTACACTCCAAACATTTGAGGCTGTGTCTACAGAGTTTGGAGGGGTCTTCGTCGAGGGGCATGGCAGGAGTGATGGGTGTGCTTGAAGGAGCTGATATGACCGTCCCAGTCACGCCAGACTGGATTTTTGTTACAGTGTGTGCGCCAGCTCCCACGGAGCTCTGCAGAGTGAGAGACGCAGTGGAAGTATTGCTAGACGGAGAAACTATCATCTGATCTGCTGGGACTGGCTTTAAAATTAAGTGGGAGCACTGCATTACCACTCCTTTCTCCTTATGCCCACGAGCATGGGAGAGTAGGCTGCATTTGTTATAAAAAACAAGGTTCTTTGTACAGTGGTTGCATGTCACTTCAATGCGCACACTACGCCTGTCGTAGTGCTGGGTCAGGCTCTTTTCCAGTGCGAAGGAGTCCCCACACTCCAAGCACTTATACCCCCGCGTTGGTATCGTGATGCCTGCACTGGCAGGAGGACTGAGGTTGGGGATGTAAACTGGGACTGGATTGACACTGCTCAGCACCTTGTTGAAAGCTTCCACCACAGAACTCTGCAAGGATGACACCACCTGGACACGAGACACCTTTTTGGGTGGTTGTGAAGCCGCTGCATTGATTATTGCCTGCTTTATTTGTTGCTGAGGTTTAGTTAGCACTTGGCGGAGTTCAGAGGTGGCCTGGGCACCCTGAGGCAGAAGGTTAAGGTTGGCAAGGTGCACGGTCTTTGGCACAAGTTTGGCATTGGCCAGGCTAGATGCTGGCACCACGACGGTTTGCTGCTGAATGGCATTGGCGGCTTTAATGATGGCACTGCTGGCACTCTGAACAGAGGCAGCAGATATGACTGTGGCTTTTACTGTCGTGTTGTTTGCAAGCTTCAAATTGATGACCTGGGACCCTGCCGTCTTGACAGCAGACACAGGCAGGAAGGCAGTGGCCACAGGCTTGATGGTGACCTGTTTGGGGGTCAGCTCTGCAGGAGAAACTGCATTGGTAACCACAGCTGACTGCAGAGGTGCCCTGGGGGGAGAGGACAGGACAGCTGCTGAGGCTGGAGATGACAGAAGGGATGTGACAGAGGCCATCACAGATGCTGTCTGCTCAGAAGGCTTCTTCCCAGAGTCAAGATCCACTTCTGGCAACACCCGCGTCACTGTCCTCTTGATCTCCCCAGAGGACGTCTTAATGGTTTTGATGCGGACTTTGGGGATTGCTGGCGTGGATCCTGCGGGAGAGGATGGGGAGCCTTTGCTGCTGTTCTCACTTGAGACGCTCCTGGGGCTATCTGGTGGCTTTAAGGAAGCTTTCTTGGTGCCATCGATGAGACTCTGGGACTCGGGAGACTTGTCAGTTGCTCTTGGACTGTCATTTACTTCTTTTGGTAACGGAGAGGATTCCCTGGAATTGGCCACAGGTTCTTTGCAGGAGTCTGAAGCCGCCTTCTTAGCACTCAGTGCTGCGATGGCAGCTATGCAAGAGGAGAGCTTAGAGGCCGACTTGGTCTTGGATGCTACGATGCCAGCAAGGTTGGTGTCATTCTTCTCGGAGTTCAGTTTCCCGTCAAGGACCCTGTTTTCAAGCACCTTTTCAGAGTTTTCCTTCAACTTATCTTCTGATTTTCTGACTTTAAAAGGTTCATAAACATTCAGATTTATGGAATTTGCTTCTGTTTCTCTCTTAACTTTGTTTTTATCTGCATTACCTGATGTAGAGATTCCAGTTTTGCCTGCATTCTCCCCCGCAAGTGTCTTTAGTTTATCGTAGTCCTGCTGGGGAGCCGACCCTGGCAACACATTTGCTCTGAAACTTGAACGCACATCCTCCTTATCGGGAGGGTCATCCACCTCTATTTTCTCATCATCATCAAACTCTTCAGCACTAGAGATAGGGCTGAACTGGCTGAATGTTGAGTCTTTGAGAGTCATCTCGGAGGGAGGCCCATCTCCTTTCAAGGACTTTGCTCCATCTTTACTGTAACCATCCAAAGAGGACGCTGTGAGAAACCCATTATGCAAGCCATTGCCGGTGGGATTGTGGCCATCTTTCTCCCCGCCCTCAGAAGAATCGATGTTCCGAACATTCTTAACAATCACGCTGACACCAACATCGGAAGATGATGGTGTGTGAGAGTCATCATCTACATGAGCGTTCTGCTTAATGTGGCTTTCATGGTCATCATGTCCAGACTCAATAGCTGCTTTGGGATCGACCATATCTGGGATGTCGAATGCTGCCAGGAGGTCATCAAAGTCTGGGGTCTTCATATCCCCCATGGTCATGAATTTGATCAGATGTTCTGTTAAAGGAACAGAAAAGCATTCCATTAGCAATTTTAATGTATGTGTTGTACTTCATTAGCAAGTGATATTCATAATGATAACAGTAAATGTTAACTGTAGAGTTTATACTAATACCACAACAATTATCACTGAAGAGCAGGTTAGAGCCAGGCATGGTGGCACACACCTGTAATCCCAGCACTCAGGAACATTCCACATGTCCTCCAACAGAGTGCACTTGTCTCTCCTCACCTATAAACCTAAAAGCTGACTTTGTACAAGCAACGTTTCATTCACCTTTCTAGTATAAATGCCAACTACTCAACAATATCAGGAGCCACCTGAGGGACCACTGGCTGGATGGACACCAGAAGAACAGCCACAGCTCTGGCTCAGTCTCTCACTAGCTCTGACAAGGCCCTCAGGAAGTAACACAATCTCGTTGGACTGGGTCTTCCCTTCTGCCATGAAACCAAGCAGCCATGAAGAGAACAAAACATGGACCAAAGCAAAGGAAAACAGGAAGAAGAAATAAGACTGGAAAATGGAAAAGGAAAAAGAGAAACAGAGGGAGGGAGGAAGAGGGAGGGAAGAGAAAAGTATAAAGGATGGGAGAGAAAGAAGAACCATACAAATAGCTACCAAAGTCAAAAGGGAGGAAGGGTAAAGCTGATTTTGCCAGCTTTCATTGGAAGAATGCACCTAAGTGATACAAATACTCCAGGATGCTCTGCTCTTCAGTATCAACTACGGTTACTCCTCCATTAAATCTGCTTTAGTAGCCCCTGAAAAGTTGTCTCCCATATTTCACCTAAGTACTTAATGAGTTTACTTCCTTGTATAATCTGCAATAGATCATGCATTCCTGGTGAAAGTAATAATCCTGGGGTCAAGACAGACTTTCTACACAGACAAAAATATGCAGCCCTGTGAAACTGATACATCCTACAAGTGCATACCTGCTAAGACCCTCAGCATATTTACTCATTCCAGAGATATGTCCAAACACTTCAAAGACTGGCTGGGAAAACCTGCTGCAGATGAAATAAACACCTGAAGTATAAATCACCTTCCATTTGCACAAGTGTTCATTATGTAGAGCTGAAGAAGTCTGGCAGTTTTCTCCTGGTGGTTTGTTCAACTCAGAAAAACACTGTGGTCACTATTCTCTGCCTAAAGGACCACACATGAAATAGCACACTCACAGCATCAAACTCTCAACAACACGACATGCACACAGGAAACAAAACATTAACACTCTTAAGGAGAAACTGACATGAAAATAGCTATGAAAAGTCATACCTTAGAGGAAAGTCTATGATTATGAGTTTCCTTTTAAAGTGAATTTGAACATTTAAACTGAAAAATGTGGGGGATGAAAAATTGAGCTGTCAGATGCTATTCAGGTAAGAATCCACCCACCAAAGAATGATCCCTGAATGTCACTTCTTTTAGGTACCACGCTGCTGTTATAAATTGAATACCCACAATAAAGCTATATTACTGAAGCACCCTTATGGTCTATCTTCCATTCTGTTCTGTTTTGCTTTGTGTTTTTGTGAGACAGGGTCTTGCGTATAGCCCAGGCTGGCCTCGGAATTTGCAGCAATGCTCTTGCCTCAGCCTCGGGAACGCCAGGATTACAGAGTGTGCCACCACATCCAGCTCATGGTCTGCCTTTACCAGACATGTGACTGTGAGTAAGCTGTAGCATGGTGGTGAGTTTGAGACCATCCTGAACTACAAAGGGAGCTTAAGGCCAGCCTGAACTACATAGTGAGACCCTGTCTCCAAAAGATTTAGAAAAAAAACTTGAGGATTTTATAGCTATATGAATGCAACTAGAGGCTATAATCAGAAGTGAAATAAATCATGTATAAACATCACACTATCTCCCTAGTGTAAGAACCTGAAAGAGTAAATAATAAAATCTGAAAGGTACAACAGATATAACGGAAAGAAACTGAACATAATGATAAACAAATGGGATAAGGGAAGGGAGAAAAGATAGGAAGGAGAAAAAAAATCACATACGTATACACACAGAACAGCTAAGATGATTCCACTACTAATTTTTATAGATTTTTTGAAGGTAACAGTTAATGCTTGAAACTTTTACTTTGATCAATGTTATGTGCTTGTATCTGTAATCCGAGTGAGCAACAATGACAGTGAAGACAGAAATCTGCAGTACAACCACTGCTAGATACCTACCTACCATCTTGGGGTTTTTTTGTTCTTTTTTTTCTAATTCTGTATCATTTCTAATGTCTTATCTATTATTTTTCTATTCTCTTTAATTTTTTTTAAAGATAACTTTTTAAGGAGCTGGGGAGATAAGCTCAGTTGAATAAGCACATGCCTGGCAAGCGGAAGGGCCTGATTTCAATCCCCAGCTCTGAAAAAAAAAAAAAAAAAAAAAAAGATAACTTTTTAAAAAGAAAAAAACTTAAAACGTAGGCTCAGGGGCTGGCAAGATAGTTCAGCAGTCTAAAGCACCTGCTTAGGCAAGCGTAGACAGGCACAGGGGTGTGTGGTTCAATCCCCAGTATGCCAGCCCCACTCTCAGGGCAGGGCTAAACAGGCCAAAAACAAATTAATTAATTAAAAAAAAAAAAGTAGGATCAGGAACCACTCCTTGTCCCCACTTCTACAAGTTGAAAGGGCCTGAAAGATGGATCTTGAGCTCTACTACTCATCTGAAGTTCCAAAGACCTTCACTCCAGACATACCCAGTAGTTAAAGTAGGCCCTATCTAAATCCTCAAGCCTTTCTCTGTAGCTATGTAGAATTCATATCATGTGGTAAACAACATATAGTTTTACAGAAGGCACTCAGGTAGTTAAGGCAATCAGACAGACAGCAACATAATTCAAATACCAGGAGCTGGGCTCAAGACACAAGACCAGAAGAAATGAGGAAAGGTCACCGTGTGAAATGAAGTTCACATCAGCAGTAAATGAGTATTTGTAAGATTAAAACACAACCCTTGGGGCCGGGAAGATGGCTCAGTGGAGTAAGCGCTTCCCTGGCAAGTGCAATGACCTGAGTTCAATCCCGGTTCCACCAAAAAAAAAAAAAAAAAAAAACACAACACTTACAACCTTCTCCTGCTATATCTACCAGGACCTGCCTGATTCAGACATGCTCACAGCGGCAGCATGATGTCATTCAGTCAAGACCAGCTTGAGGCCCCCATACTTCCTGTGCCCTTGCCTGTCTGTCCAGCTCAAGCAGTTACATCAAGGGCCACAGAGCCCCCTCTCAGCATGCAAGCACCCCAGGAGCACAGAAGGCGCTCCCAACACCAGAGCAAATCTTTCTCCACAGGGACAGAGCTGCACCCTATTCCTTACCCTCTCTGTACCTAAGGTTTGTCTTATGTGGGGAGGAGGGTGAAACAGAGGGACACTCTGGGGCTATGGAGGGAAATGACCCATGGTTTAAAAACCATGAGCCAGCAGTCCTAACTCCTTGACGAAAGCCTGCCTACGTGTGGTAGAGGTGTGCGGGTACTTTCGAAGGCCAGGGCAGTGCCCTCTGAAATCCGACACTGCTATGGCCACCAGTGGACTTGTCTCCTGGGTTGTAGAATTAATGCAATAAATATCACTCTGTAACTGCATACTCTTTTTTGGTTTCTAGAAATGTTTTTATACCCACAATCGCACTATGTCCTATTACCCATTCCTTTCCCATACCCTGGAAGGCAAAAGCCAATGTTTCCCTTGGAGGAAAAAAAAAAAAAAGAGTTCCCAGGGCTGGTGAGATGGCTCAGGGGCTGGCAAGATAGTTCAGCAGTCTAA